ATGTTTCAATTTGGAAATCTGAGATATTGGATCTGAGCTCATTTAGAAAGGAAGGAAGCTAGAAGAACAAGATATAGCTCTATCCATATTTCAAAATCTAGCAAATCACAGGAAAATAAAGAATTTAGAGTGGACCAAACGAAATTTTCTGATTGGGCTACCTGAACTAGATACGTCCTACATAGAATAATCAAATCGCAAGAAAACTGAACAGCTTGAAAAAAGGATTGCATTTGGGTGCCTCAAACGAGTTTACCAAAGAACCTGCAAATAGATATATATCATGAAGAAATTTCAGGACCATATCAGGACTTCATCAGAACTGTAGAAAGGAATCTCTATAAGAACGAAAAGAATGTTCATGATGACTTCATGAGATATTATACTTTTTTATGAGTCTAATAAAAAGTCTAGAAACCTCATAAAATACTAGTGTACAGTTATCAAATGATTTTTTCGTAATGTTATAATGCTGATCTAACTTTTTATGAAATCTTGGACTTTTGGTTATATCAAAATAGCACTATGCACAGTCATAACAATTTGATGATCCTGTTTTGGATCTATTTACCGCTATCGTCTATGAAATTGTAGAAAACCTTCACTCACTTGAAGTAATATTCGTGGTTGACTACTTTGTTAAGTTCAGTTTAAAGAGAACGACCAGATTTCATTTAAAATGCCATTTGTATGCTTTGAGGAAGTTGTCGATCCGAATCTAAACAAGAAATCAGTAATTAATTAAGAGAATAATACTTTCAGATTACAGAAATTACTAATAGTGCCAATTTAATACTTGCTTTTACATTGAAAAGTTGTCATTAATCCAATTTATTGAAGGCGCTGCTTGACATGAATCAATCTTCACATGAAAAAATACAATTGAAATTAAGAAGAAATAAAGAACACACTCATCTATATGCATCAAAGCTTCATTTGATAGTCATAGCCAGTTTGATTCATCGAAGAAGTTGGAAAGCTGCATCTAAGTAAACAAAAGATTAGAGTTAGTGCATAGTAATCAATATAATTTTCAGAAAAACTCCTCAAAATTGTTAAAATCAGACGTCCTATTTGAGTAAATATAGTTCAACAAATCTAAAGCATAACTTCCACAGCAATGTCCAATATTGAACACTAATCTTCTAAATACAATTTACATTTCAATCGCAATACTTTCTCTGGAATGTACTCGATTAACGGTGACCAATTGAAGGTTGGGAAAACATCATGAAAGTTCTTCTATGTGATGAAAATATGGCATAAATATCGGAGAATCCAAAGCCTATATTAGTATCTATAGAGTTTATTTAACGGAATTTCTTCTTAAAATGGGCAAAATGTGTAATTTAGAAGAATACTAACCTATTTTAATTTTTGATATTGCTATATGGACGAGAACCAATCTCTTAAGCAATAAGACTCTAACAAGAAATATTGATAAATGGTCTTCTGCATCTAACTAGACAACAAATCCTTCTTGAGAAAAAGATATCGGTGTGTGCATAAATCTGTCTAACTTATTTCCTTGAAATAGAATAAATGAAATAGAATTAGCAATCATAGCTATGCTTCAATGTGTTATACGCAAGAACATACTGGAGAAAATCAACTGATTGAGAGAAAAATTTGGAAATTTCACTTCTCCTCTTTCTCGTAGTTCATCTAAACAAAAGAAAACAGTCTATCGAGGAAAGATAATAGTTAGAAACATGAAGAATATTTTTGACGCATCTTCACAAACTAAAAAAGTGAGTTATAATGAGAAACTAAACTTACCTGCCTTGATATTGAACGACATATGATGATCTCGAAACACATCAAATGATAGCAGCATGCTCTGCAAACACTGTTGAAATTTAATACTACTCCTCTAAAAACAAAAGATTAACTGTTAAAAAACAACGTGTTGAGAATATTTGTCCTTACTTTTCTCAGTAACAATGACTTACAGTAAAATTAGCAACAACGTGTTTCCAATCAGTACATTAAACAACACAAATTGAATAGATCCTGAAAAATAAAGAGAAATAACAGATGACTCTATTCGTGACTATCTTTGATAATACAAATAGATAAAAGAGACTTGTACTACAAACATGTATTGATATAAAAGAAACTTTTTAAAGAATTTTTTCCTGAATATACAAAGATGAACTAAAACTACAACTGACTTTTATATATCGTTTTGTTTCACATTGAAGATGACTGAAAGCTGAATTGATCATGAGAAAAGACTCGAAAATGAAGCTCCTGTGCAACTACTGTTGTCGATCTGAAAAAAAAAGAACACAGTTAAAAAACAATTTTTGCGGTACATTATGGGGAAATATTTTCATTACCTTAACGATGCAAAGGACGTTGACTTGTTCAAATGATAGTGTTGAAGAACAGCTTGTTGAGAAGAAAAGTTCGCCATCCATATTTTAGCAATTGTTCTTGCGGATATGCACACAGAGGAAAAGATTACTAATAAAATAATATGGCAATATATTGAAAGGAATTTTAGTGACATTTGTTACTACAAAAAACTTAGCTGAACTCTTCATTTATACTTTACAGTTAATTTCTCAAAAGCCGACAGATACCATCATTTTGATTGATGACAGAAAAAATACAATACAGAAGATTTAGCAGTTGCTCTTGTTGAACTGAAAAAAAAACGTTATTTAATAAAAGAATAGATTGATATCTGAAGCATCTCTTACATGAACTTTTCTTGAATAAAGACAACATGAATTCAAATTAATAATATACTTACGTATTTACTGGTTGCCATTAAACAATGTAAGAATAACAGGCGATAATGAGAAAAAACTTGGTGCTGAGCTTTCTTCAGTAGTTTTATTGATCTAAATAAACAAGAAAACACTATTAATGAAAAATTACATTAGCATAAAAAGAATATCTTATAATTGTTTTTGAATATAACAAAGATGAAATAAAACTATAAATCATACTTACATGCTGATATTTTCTGTATGACAAGATGAGTGAAAAGTAATTCAAGAAGAGATAAAACACAAAACAGAAACTGTAATAGTTGTCTTTCTTTACCTAAAAGCAAACAATAGCTCTTCTTCAGAAAAGCTAAAGAATAGATTGATACGTGAAGAATCATTTCCACGAATTGCTTTTGAATGCGAATGAGATGAGTTGTAATTATGAAACATGCTTATCCTTATTATATTTGGAATCAAATGAGGAAAGAATGTCCATCGATCACGCGNATATAAATTTCGACCGTCTGTAAAAACACTCCGATCAGAACTGATGTTTTTCATATTTCAAACTTCTTGAAGTTGTTAAGATATCAACTTTGATTTTAAGAATATTTGCGTCTGTTATAGATCCTTAGCAAATTCAATTGATGGTAAACGTTCGTTGAAGTAAAAAAAGTATTATCTTTTAAAACAAGTTGGAAATCGACTATTGGCGTTCGTCATATATTCATAAAGAAGATAATACAAGGAGAAAAATGAATGTGTAATTAGGCATGCAGCTAACCCAATGTGCAGTTCAAGTTCGGGAACTATCCAACCAATTCGGACAGTGGTGATAATTTATATGATTGCTTAAGCGTTTTTTGAGATACATAGGCAATCATAGTAGCATTCCAAAAGTTCGGGTTCGAGTATTTCCAAACATCATTAATTTCTTTTTAGGATGTCTGTAGCCCTTCAGTTTTTTGGACTATTTATTTCACTGTATGAGGATCCATCATAGTCAACTCTCAAACCCTTTCTTTTGACTTACCTGTATTTCTTTTTATTGAAAAACTGAAAATAACTGCAGACGTGACCGCACTCGAACATTCAGGTCCAGTGCATAGCTATCTGTAACTAATGTCAATGCTAAAAACGTTTTCAATAGAAGAATAAACTTCATTAAAACTGATCCTTAATGAAAATTCCTAACAGAAAATGGGAAACAGTTAATAATTATGTATGTAAGGGTGTGGGTGTGTGGGTGTGTGGATGTGGATGTGGGTGTGGGGTGTGGGTGTGTGGGTGTGTGGGTGTGTGGGTGTGTGGGTGTGTGGATGTGGGTGTGGGTGTGGGTGTGGGTGTGGGTGTGGGTGTGGGTGTGGGTGTGGGTGTGAGTGTGGGTGTATATCTGCTCTTTACTCAAACTCGCACCAAAACCGATACAAACACTAATACCCATACCGATAGCCACGTCTCACATCCATATTCACACCCACACTCGCATCCACACCCACGCCTTTGTTAATGCTGTGTAAATCGCCAACATGTCTCAAATTGATAACATACACTCTTTGTTCTTTCTCCCATTCTCCTGGCGTCTTCGCCTCGATCCACTCGACATCATTACGTATCTTCGTCGTTCAATAATAAACAGAAAGACTGAAAAATTATCTTGCCATGTAATGACTCCTATTCTCTGCAACAGGCTGTCATCGGTCTGTGAATTCTCAGAGATGTTATTTTACTTTAATCATCATCTAAAGCATTTAAAACTCTTCGAACAATTTGACAGGTCTAGACACTTTCTTTTACACTTTGTTCCAGACTTGATAAATTTACTTACATTCGAAATCAACACTAATATTGTAACGAAATATGGATAGACTATTTCATTACTATTGCAGTATTTATTTTATTGTTGATCAACATTGAGAAATTGGAGGAGTAGCGTTACCGCTATCCTCGGTGTATGATGTTCACAACACTACTTCATCACTCCAGTTCTGACCATTGTACATAGAACACGACCTTATATAGGAGAGAGAAATAATGAAAAGGGAACAGTATAAGCAACAGATACAATCGGTAAAAGAGATCACAGTGCGTAGAAGAACAGTGACCGGTTGACCTTATACTATTAAGCGGATAAAAGATGTAGATAAGACGTGCCCTTATTATTGGCACAAATATGATATGTAACCAAGTAAAAATAGAATGATTTCTCGTTTATTTGTACATGTAAAAAAGATTTCTTAATGATTCACTTCGAATTCAAAATGGTTATACTGTTCTTTACTTTGGTACGATATTAGCTGAGAGTGCATCGGTTCTCACGTTTGAATTTGGTTGTCCTGCTGTTGCATCGTTGCAATTTTTACCACCTGTTAAACCATATTCACCATTATTCATCATTCCACCAACTGTTGTATTGGGCTGTGATGGTTCACCTACTTTTGTCCATTTTGATGACATATTCTCAGCTGGCGTTACAACAGTTGGATTACTTGGTGAATATCCATCACCTTTATGTACTAAATATTGACTATTATCAGAACATGTAACGAGAGAGCCGCTGTGCGTTGCACCTGGCACATTTGAACCGCCGGATGAACTGCCACCAGATGAATCCATTGGACGTTGAACAGCTTGAGATGAGATAACATCTTTGCCTTGAATTTTTGCTGTACTTTCAGACATAGTAATTATCACCTTATTATTATTTGAATGAAATATGAAGAAGCAGAGTTTCCCCGTGTATAAATTGTAAATGAAGTGAGATTCATGTTAGTTTCTGTAGCCTTAAATATGATGCTCTACTTCCTCAAAAGAAATTGTTTGTCAGACAAATTTCTCAATCAACAAAAATCAGTGGGAAAAAGTGAAAAAATTGCGTTTATTCATATTGCTATTTTTCTTTTCAAGAAGACTAGTTGACAGAGTAGAAAGAGAACAAACACTCAAGAGGACAGTTGGTAGAAATGACGAACGATAAACATTATTTACTCTCTTGAAAATAAAAATAGCAATAAGAACAAACACAATTTTTTCATTTTTTCCCACTTCTTAATGCTGGTTGAGAAGCTTCTCTGGCAAACAGTTTCTTTTGAGGAAGTAGAGTATCACATTTAGAATTTAATACATTATATCATATTGATCAACTGTCACCTATCGAAAGTCAACGTTGTTTCCTTCCTGACAATATAAATTGTCACATTTTAGTTAACGTTAGTCATGATCTCAAACACTTTGATTTCTATCGTAACACACGAACAGTAACCGATCCATTCATATTAGAAATCACTTCAGAAACTTTTTTATCTCGTTTCGTATACGGAATGATATTAGATGATATAGAATACGAAAAAAAAACAGGAAGAATAGAAACGATTGCTTCTGTTTTTCTTTTATTCAGTTAACGAAAAAAGTCGAGAGATAAATAAGAAGTGACGAGAAAGAAAGCAGTGTTGAGAGAAAGGAAAGAGAACCAGTATAAATATAACGATGCACTGATAGACAAGCGAAAATTACGCACATTTACAAAAGACAAAGGATAGTAGCTCAATAATGGACCTTAAAGGATGTAGGGGTGTGAGTATGGACAAATGGAACAGAAAGCTGATGCAATAGCTTGCGTTCGCTTTTTTCCTTTTGTAAGATAAATAACGTCATGAATCCTGGTGAATAACATATTTTTGCTTTACTCGTCTTTTTTTTTTACACTAAAAAGAAAAGTATAAGAGAAAAAACTCTAGGAAATTACATCATTATTCATCATCATCATCAAAACCATTTTGTCAATTACCTTAAATTGCTTTAGATTTTTCTATATTGCAATCTTCACTAAATTTTATATTTAAATCTATTTCGACTAATAAATTTTATTATGGGATCTTGTATACTCATATCTCAATGCATAAAATTACACTGAATTGTAATTGTACACCACATTAGCTATTGCTGTATTTAATTGACTATAACGTCCAAATTCATCTGATAAAGATGTAGATATTGTTGTGACTGTGACTGTAGATATTTTCTTCTTTCCACACTCTCTCTAAGTTACTTCATTTAATACTAAAAAGTCTAAAGAACTCTTCAAATTCTTTTACCTAAATTTATGATCTATTAAGAGCTTTTCATCGATTTCAACTGATCAAGTCTCACTAAATCAAGTTAGACTCTGAAAGATTGATAAAATACGTACCTACATTTCAATGAAAACTGAATTTCGATTTATTCGAATGTAAAGATAAAGTTATTTTACCTGCTTCGTTGATTTAAATGGTGGTTCGCGTGAAGTTCAATATTATTGAAGAGAGAGAGAGAGAAAGGATACCGCAGGTTAAGAAAATTTTCGATAATGAAGATCAGTTAATATGGGTTTTGTAGAGAAATGAAAGGCCTATCTTTTTATATATTTTGTTTTTCAAAAAAACCTTGTAGAGGGTCAGAAGGATGTGGGTGTGGGTGGACGTGGGCGTGGATGGGGGTGGGGGTGTTAACGTTCTCTCTTCTCTCCATGTGAGGTTCGATAAAAGATATATGTATGCGTATGTCCTTGATGTACGTGGACTACTTTTTTTATGTAAGGAAAATATAACAACTGTTTATATAACGATATGGATGAATACATGTAGAAGGAAAAGAACGAGAGGAACGAATACAAGATCAAAGAGAGACGAAAGAGCGTAGAGGATAACACTAATATAGAGAATGTGTATACAGGCGACATCACTGTAACAGATGAGAAACCAAACTTACTCGTCATGATGTTGAACGATACATGATGATTCTGAAATACACCAAATTAGAGCAGCACTCTCTGCGAACACTATTGAAAATTAATCTTACTCATCTAAAAAAAATTAGCTATTGAAAAAACAACGTATTGAGAATATTTGTCCCTACTTTTCTCAGTAAAAACGGCTTGCAGTAAAATTACTTATCACGCGTATCCAATCAGTATGTTGAGAGGCACAAGTTGAACAGAACCTGAAATGTAAAGAGAAATAACAGAAGACCCTAATCGTGGCTCTCGTTGATAATATAAACAGACAAAAGAGACTAATACTAAAAAGATGCAGTGATATAAGAGAAACCTTTTAAAGAATTTTTTTGAATATACAGAGATGAACTAAAAGCACAACTTACATTTATATATCGTTTTGTTTCATATTTGGAGATGGCCGGAAGCTGAATTGATCACGAAAAAACAACCCGGCAATAGAGCTCCTGTGTAATTGTTGTTGTCGACTTGAAAAAAGAACACAGTTTAGAAACAATTTTTGTGATATATTATGGAAAAAAATTTTCATCACTTTAACCGATACAAAAGACGTTGGCCTGCTGAAAAGATAGTTTTGAAGAACAACTTGTTGAGCAGAAAAGTTCGCCATTCACATTTTAGCAGTTGTTCTTGCAGATCTAAACACAGGAAAAGATTACTAATAAAAAGAATATGCCGATATATTGAAACAAATTCTTGTGACTTTTGCTACTGCGAAAAAAGTAACTGAGGTCATCAGTTATATCTAACGATTAGTTTCTCAAAAGACGACAGATCTCATTACATTGATTGATGGAGGCAGAAATACGATACGGAAGATTTAGTAGTTGTTCTTGATGACCTGGGAAAAAAAGAAAAAGTTATTTAGTAAAAAAAATAGATTGATATCTGAAGTATATCTTTCATGAACTTTTCTTGAATAAAGACAACATGAATTCAAATTAATAATGTACTTACGTATTTTGTGGTTGGCATCAAACGATGTGAGAATAACAATCGATCAAGAGAAAAAAACTTGGTGCCGAGCTTTTTTCATTAGTTGTATTGATCTAAATAAACAAGAAAACCCTATTAATGAAACATTACATTGATATAAGAAGACTATTTTTTAAATATTTTTGAATATAACAAAGATGAAATAAAACTAGAAGTCATACTTACATAGTAATATTTTCGGTATTTCAAGATGAGTGAAAAGTAATTCAACTAGAGATGAAACACAACACAGAAGCTTTAGTAGTTGTTTTTGTTAACCTAAAAACAAAGAAAAAGCTCTTTTTCAAAAAAAACTAAAGAATAGATTGATACGTGAAAAATCATTTCGATGAATTGAAATTACTAATCATACTTATCCTTATTATATTTGGGATTAAGTGATGAAAGAATACCCATTGATTAAGAGCAACAGTTGATACCAAAGTTTTGTTCATTAGTCGTGTTAATCTAAGCAAATAAAAAAGCGGTATCAATGAAAAATTACATGGGTATATGATGAGTCCTTTTTAGGAAATGTTTTCGAATATAAAAGAGATGGAGGAAACTATAAATGATACATACGTACTAATATCTCGGTATTAAGAAATGAGCAGAAAATAATTCATCAAAACACAAAACATAACATGAAAGTTTTAGTAATTCTGCTTGTTTATCTGAAAAAAAGGAGGTAGTGAAACAATAAGCATAGATAGATACCTAAAAAAATATTTTCGATACCTTGCTTCAATACAAAAGACAGGAGTAAAATAATTTGTAATGTTTGTGTACTTTTACGTAAGAGGACGAATGGAAACGAATCTGTGAAGTGAAAAAAATTGACGCCTAGGTTTTATTAAATACAGGGGGGTGCAAAAGTCACTTAACTCAAAAAAAAATGAATATCTCCTTTATAGCTCAAGCAAATGAGCTGATTTTTTTATCGATGATAGAG